GGGATGTTCCATGCAAATGTGCTGCTCCCAAAGGCCTTGATAGAAAAGGATTCGGGACTAGGTGGCTTTTCAATATGGATGTTGGATCTCCCTGTTCTCCTGCACTTCCATCCAGCTGGGCGAGGAGGGGAGGCTGGTAGCTGCTTGTATTCTGACTAGAGACTGCAACTGAGATTGCAGGGCTCCGTTGTGCTAGAAAATGAACGTACATAGAACAGGAGACACTGAAGAAAATCTAGCTAGAAAAGGTGGGAGGGGAAACAGAGGCAGAGAGATTAAGGGACTTTGGTAAGGTGACACAGCAGGCAAGTGGCAGAACCAGGGATAGGACACAGGCTGAGGCCTTATCCACTATACCAGAGTACAGACCTGGAGTGAGTACATTATTCAATCCTTCATCCCGGAGTCTTCAAATCCAAGAATGGCTGAAGATATTGGAGGATGGGCGGGTGCAAAGCTTGTGTAACTGTGGCATGGTGGTGTGTGGGGAGTGAGTGGCAGAGGAGTGAAGCCAGGCCTGGGGAAGAAGGGGAGGTGGACAGTGGGAGTAAAGGCGCCTCTGAGAACTCGTGGGAGGGTACTAGGAATTCGTGTTGTGTCATGGTGGTGACTGTCTGCCGTGGACAGTCATACAGGATGGATGGTCGGTCTCATGGCTGAAGGACAGGGCCAGGTCAAATCAGAATGCCTGGGGTCTATTTCTGGCTGTGCCATCAACTTCCTGCGTGAGCTGGTCAGGAACGATGAACATCTGTATGTTGCTGAAAATTAGTTTTGTTGGTCTTCCATTTGGAACATCAGAATGAAGTATTCATTTTGGATGCAGTGTTTTGTAGCAGTGCTGGCCCTAGATCAGGGGTGGCAGAGCCTTTCCAAAAGTGGGGGGGCCAGGGGCCCCCCTCCTCATCCCCCGACACCCCTCCTCTTCCCTCAGAGGCTCCGCCCCCTGCCCTAGGAGGCTGTGTGTGTGTGTGTGTGTGTGTGTGTGTGTGCGCGAGAGCAGCCCGCTGTCTCTCTGCCCCCTCAGGCCCGCTGCCCAGGGCAGGTGGAGGGATGCAGGCTCCCTACAGCTGCCCACATGGTTCTTACCCTGATCCGGCTCTGGCCTGAGGATAGGGCCTCAGAGTTGCAGCCTGGGCATGGTAAGAGCCATGCGAGCAGCTGTGGGGAGCTGCGGCGCAGACCTTCCATCTGCCCTGGGTGGCGGGGACACGGGCTGGGAGCTGCTTTCGGGGGGGGCACACCACGGGCAGGTGGAGGGTCCGCATGGCTCCCACAACTGCACGGGCTCCACCAGCTGCTGGCCTGGCCGAGGAGGGGGTGGGACCTCAGGGGGGGAAGAAGTGGGGAAGGGAGCAGGGTCCACCATGGAGAAACATGGACGAGCCAGGCCCATCCCTTTTCAAAAAGGGGGAGGGCCATGGCCCCCTGACCCTCCCATTCCGGCACCACTGTCCCAGATGTTAAAGACCAGGTGGGTGAGGCAATCTTTTATTGGACCAACTTCTGGTGGTGAGAGAGACACTTACACAGAGCTCTCCTTCAGGGCTGGGAAATGTACTCCGAGGGTATGTCTACACCGTAATTAGTCACCCAGCTGGCTTGGGCTGGGGGGCTGTTTAACTGTGATGTAGACATTCAGGCTCGGGCAGGAATCTGGGCTCTAGGACCCTGCGAGGTGAGAGGGTCCCGGAGCTCAGGCTGCAACCCCAGCCCAAATGGCTTTCTCTACACTGCAATTCAACAGCCCCTTAGCCTGAGTCAGCTGGTGGGGAAGGGCTGTTAGTGGCTTTTAGATTGTTTGTAATAAGCCATAAATCAGTATCTCTATTCAGTCCGTGATTTTTAGTATCTAGCGGAGTTACGAATTTAAGCTCCCAGGCTCTTCTTTTGAAGGTGTTGTGCCGGTTCCCTTCGAAAATGAGAACCGAGATCCGCTGTGGCCTGATTGTTTTGAAAGTGTGCACCTGCAAGTGTTTTGGTTGCACCCATGTGTTTATGGAGGCACTTAGTGCACCGGATGAGTCCAAAGTTCATTGAGCTCTGGAGGGAATGGGTGTCGCGAACATCTGCTTGTAAAGTAGTGGAGGATGATTCCCCTGTGGCCTAGGGGGGTGGTGGGTACGGTAGCTAACCCTCCCGGTTTCCCCGGGAGTCTCCCAGAATCAGGCCCTATCTCCCGGAGGCTACTGCAGCCAAACCGGGAGATTTTGGGTGCTAACTGTCCGGCGGCACAGCGGGGCTAAGGCAGGCTCCTGCCTGCCCTCGCTCCACTCTGCACCTGGAGGCGGCCGGCAACGGCACTGTCTCTGTGGCCCCTGGGAGGGTTGGGGGTCTCTGCGCACTGCCCCTGCCCCGAGTGCCAACTCCACAGCTCCCATTGGCTGGGAACTGTGGCCAATGGGAGCTGTGGGGGCAGTGCCTGCAGGCTGGGGCAGGGCGTGGAGCTCCCTGCCCCTGCCTAGGAGCCGCTGCCAGAGGGATGTGCAGGTCACTTTCGGGAGCCGCCCGCGGTAAGCGCCGCCACACCCCAACCCCCTGTCCCAGCCCAGAGCCTGCACCCAAACTCTCTGCCAGAGC